GAGAAACACAAAGGCTCTTTTCAGAGCCACCTCCATATTCATAAAAGGAGCTTGAATGTCATATATAATAAGCAAAGCGCCCTCACGGTGTTTGAAAATCTCAGTCTAGTCTTAAAAATCGGAACAGACGCAGTACTTGCGGTTAGGCACCCACCCCTTGCACACCTGTTCCCGACACATTCCCTGCCCCGGTCCGGGGGTGGAGCTGACTGGGCTTCCTGGAGAAGCTCGGCCCTGATGAACCCTCAGCCAATCCCTGCGCCGTGCGGGCTTTCCAGCACTCCTTTTTTATCAGCATCATTGAAATGAGCTGCTCGGCCACGTCCCCTAACTGAACCAGTTTCCTCATCAGCAATCTTCCCAGAGCTCCCCCATCGGCTCCAGACCCCGAGTTAAGTAACTGACACAGTGCTTCAGCCCTTTTAAAAGCAAGTGGGTGGCTCTTAAAAGAGCCGTTGGAGTTTAAGCGCGGAAAAAGTTTTCTCCCACAGAAGTTTTACTTCTTCTTGGGCGCCGCCTTCTTCGCCTTGGCTGCTTTAGGCTTCGCTGCCTTGGGCTTGGCTGCTTTGGCCTTCACCGCCTTCGCCCTGGCCGGGCTCTTCGAGGCCACAGCCGCTTTTTTGGGCTTGGCTGCCTTGGTCGCCTTCTTAGGGCTCTTGGCCGCTTTCTTGGCCACCGGCTTCTTAACCTTTTTCGGGCTCTTCTTTGCTGTCACCGCCTTCTTGGGCTTCTTAGCAGCGCTGGCGGGCTTCTTGGCCGCCGTCTTCTTCGGCTTGGCCGCGGCTGCCCGCTTCTTGGGGGCTTTTTCTTTCACCTCCCCAGGTTTCTTGCTCAGGCGGAAAGACCCAGATGCACCAATACCCTTGGTCTGCACCAGGGTGCCCTTGCTGACGAGGCTCTTCAGCCCCAGCTTTATGCGGCTGTTGTTCTTCTCCACATCGTAGCCGCCGGCGGCCAGCGCCTTCTTCAGCGCGGCGAGGGAGAGCCCCTTGCGCTCCTTGGAGGCGGACACGGCCTTGGTGATCAGCTCGGTGACGCTGGGGCCGGCGGGTTTGCGGGCTTTGGAGCCGCCCGCCGCCTTCTTCGGCTTCTTGGCGGCGGCCTTGGCAGCGGGCGCGGGCGCATC